TTCATAGCTCATCGGATTCCTCCAGCTCCAGTATAAATATAACGAGTCTCTCTCTGTGCGTCGTTAAAATGTAAATCTACAGCGATCTTCTTTGGATGTACCGGCTCCCATCACAGGAATGTGTAATTTCACAACAGCCTCAGGGTCAGTGGTAGACACTTTGATTCTGAACAAAGCCAAGATGCTGCAATGTGGATGGGTAGATGTTGACTATCGCTCCTGGTATTCAGAAGGTCGAGGGTAAGATCCCGACCCTGACGCTTGCTGTATATGTGGAGTGTGCGTGTCTCCCTCCCCGTGGTCGCGTGGATTTTTCTTCGGGTCCTCCGATTCTTCTCTCCACACCGAGAAACGTGAGTTTAGAATATTGCGCTGCTGTAACTGTCCGCGCGATAAGCCACTTCGTTGATCTGTCATTTGTGGTCAGGTCGCTTCCGATAAAAAAGCTACACATAGCTCAGTGGGCTTTACCTGCTAAAATTAAAAAAGATAGTTTAGTTTCGTAGCTGCCGGTATATATTTTGATGAAAGCGGTTATAAGAACGTTTCCCAAGGGATGCAGATGGCGTTTTCATCTAGGATTAAGGGGTCATGCAAAAATATGGGTTATTAGGCGCTTTGGTTATTTATACAGTGGGTCCAATCGCACAGTAATATTGCCTGTAATAAAAACTCAGCGGGCATATTGTATAAAAGGCTGCCTCTTCAATCCTACAATTACCACTTGCTGAGAGTCTTATACCGTCATAAAATGAACGTGGAATTTTATTTGCAAATGTAATATGATGTACCGAGTAATATCGTAATAACATTCACAAATAGGATACAAAAAAATACATATAATTTTGCATGCCCACACTTACAATTGCTTCATAATCATTGTCTGAATGCTTTGCGCACTGCTCTCTGCTAATGTACAGGGTGGTCCAGATGTCTTAATTCCCTAAAACTTCATATTTGTTTTGCATACCAAAAATGTGTGTGAAAAGAGAAATGAATAAGCAAAGGTCAAATAATTGGGGGTCACAAGACATTTTGAAACCACGCCTACACGGCGTAGAGCGTAGCCGCCGTGTCACCTGGACCCCCTGAAAGAAGTCGCTCTGATGTGGCCACTTGCCACGCGGACTGTTTCCCGTGATTGCACAGACCGCAAGTTGCTGTCGTCTGGGCACAAGCAACCTTTCCCCGAGTCCTTCCACCACCTTCCTTTCCTTGGTTGCTGCTGTCCGCCAGTGGTCCTGCAAGGTCCATTGCTTTCTGACACTACATGGCGGTTTGTAACAAACCAAAAAAAAATCCATCTCATTCCAGAAATGCGTCCGAGGGTCACGTTCAGCCACAGGAGATGGAGCGGTGAAGTCCGGCTCCCGTGCCACGGCAGGTGCCGGATGGATTTCTGCATCGCAGGATCGTGAGAGGTGGCGACGGTTTGGGGACTGGGGGGGGGGGGGGGGGGGCTTCATCCAGCAGCGGATTGAGCATGGCTGACGATGAGGATGATTATGAGACAAACACACATAATAACATGTATATTCCCCGCCAGAGTTTCAAACGCATACGAGACTAACGTTGTTGACAAGGGCCCTCTTCTTCAGATGAATAAGAAGGCTTTTGTGACTGCAGGAATTACTATACTCATTGGTTCTTTCGGTAAAGTCACGTATGTTAAAATAAAATTTTAATAAATCACAATAAAATAAAAATAAAATGTTATATTATAAAATGAAATATTTATTTTATTTTATTTATGATTTATCAAAAAAATATTTCTACATACGTGACTTTCCCGAAAGAACCAATGAGTAATGAGAAGGCTGTCCTGAACTGGAGTTGGACACATCACCATGGTCTGTCTGTCTCTCGAGCGCGGAGTTTTCTCACCAACGTCAATGCTCACGTGAAGGTTGGCGGGTGAGCAAGTCGTAGGGCTGAACGATAAATACAGGTAGGAACAACAGTTCCACACTGCCCACCAGGGATTATTTGTCTGTCGTGCATAGCCCCTCCCAAACATGTACGCTCCCGGATTGGTTGAAGTGTGTCACGTGACTGCGAGCTTTCTGTCGTGCACGAATGCGTTGTCCAACCAAGTTCCTACCTGCCCACTCCGAAGGAACGTGTTCGATTTCAAATCGAAATCGCAGTTTGAAACAATGTGATTAGCAAATCGCAAAGGCTGCGATTTTTTGCGATTTGAAAACTCCTATTACTGTACTTTCTTATTGGAATTGTTTTTTTTATTATTATAACTATATTTATTTAACTTAACAATTGTTATATGTTTAATTGTTTTATTTCAATTAAAACATTTTAATAAACAAATGTTGGAAGCAATTAATATCTTTTCAATTCTCATCCTTGCATTAGAATATATAGATCACTTACTATTTTTATGGTATCATGTGGTAATGCTTCATCACATGTTTTAAATCTATTACACAGTGAATATTGAACTGAAGCTTGACTTAATTTTTTTTTATCGCAAATCAAATAGCAATATCTGTCAGAAAAATCGCAAGTAGATATTTTCCCCAAATCGTTCAGCTCTAGCAAGTGGACGGATCCAGGCCTATAACCCAAGCCTGTGGCGAACCCCTCCGATCCAGGGGTTGGCCGTGCCACCCTTGCCGATCCAAAAAGCCATTCCAGGTCTCTCGCTTTGCGGGTGGTGAGGTTGCCCCCAACCCAGGAGGAGTTGAGATGGCAAAGTTCAGGGGTGGGGGGCTACCTGAAGGCGCTGCTGCTGCTGTTGCTGCCGCCAGCTGGCAAATGGGGCAGTGATGGTGAGCGCGTCACGTGGGTGCACGTGGACATATATAGAGAGAAGGTCGACTCAGCCTCAAATGAGTATCTGGTGCGGTGTGGAGTAAACATCGCCACTGGGGAGACAATGGCGGTGGGGCGTGATGCTGGTCACCCACCCCCTCGTGTGCCGTGCACGGCCTTTATAGGTACTCGCTAACAGCACTTGCCCCAACATTTTTTAAGGCTCCACGGGGGCTCTTCATCTTTTTATTTTGTGGGGGGCTTTGGTGTAGCGGTTAGCGTGCTGCTATACGAAACCGACAACCTGAGTTCAATCCCGGTTACGACCACTAACAGCAGTGACGATTATCTAAACAGGTCATGGGCCTCCCCTAGGTCGACTCAGCCTCAAACGGGTACTTGGCGCCGTGTGTAAACACCGGCCACCCATCCCGCCGCGTGCCGTGCCGGCCTTCATAGGTGCTGCTCGCTAACAGCACTTGCCCCGACAGTCTGTGACAGGCTTGTACAGGAAGCTCTTCTTCGACTTTTGATGATATAATCGAGGCGCTGGACACTGGCGCTGTGGTTGTGAGCTCCCGAGGGAGGTGTTCGCGTTAATCGCGATAGCATCAGGAAATGAGATGGAGTGGATTAATGGGATTACGGGAGGAAGAATTCGCCACTTCACGTGTCGATGGCGCGCGCGCCGTCCCATTGATTCAGCTGTTGGCGCACCACGTGGTGCAGTTCAGAAGACGCCCACTCGATTGTCTCGGAAGGCGCGCGCGCACAATGCAATCCCATGCAAATCGGTGAGATGCAATCCTTCTTTCGTACGGCTGATGCAGAGCAACGACTACAATTTCACATTCAGTTTGTCAAGCCGAGACAACCGCGTCAGGAGTGGCGGTGTTTACTATCGCTGCGATGTCTCCTTCTAATTTGTGGATTGGGAATTTGCGTCGTTCTACGTTGGACGGTCTGTTCCGGATGACCACAGTCGCGCAACTACTGGAGAGTTTTTCATTTTTCCATTTGTGCATCGACTATCCGCATCTACCGCCATGGTTCGGGGAGCGGATGCGGCCCACTCTGTTCGGTGACAAATCAACGACGAAATGCCATCAACGCAGTCGACCGGCGATCTCCCGCTCTCCCGCGCAACAACACGAGATGCAATCCTATCGAGGGGAGATAAACTTGTACCACGCACGATTGCGTCGTTTGTCGCGTCAGGAAATCGGTTGCAATCCCGTTGCGCGCCGTCTCGCCCCACTGAGTGGGTTCATTCTCACATTTGGCAACCATGGAACGATCGCGATCCAACTTTCATGCACACAGTGCTGGGGTCAGCGTCGCCGAGCCAGATGACTATTTCATGCGGTGACTACTGCTGATGTAAACCACGTGTGTCGAAGTATGCTCGAATTCTTTCGCACCGTACATAACCAATCTAGATTTAAACGTGCATAGCCTCCAGCAGGCTTCCTAATATCGGAAGAGCGTTCCAGACGGCCGCAGCAGCGCATCTGGGGATGATGCATCGTGACCATCGTCGTCCACTACAGCAAAACACGTTGCAGGACCCTCCTGAAAAAAAGTCCTGAGACTCAGTGAGGCTCTCCTGGTTTAATAGTAACACGTGTATATGCGCGCGTGTGTGTGGGTAGCGATAACGCAGTGGTTACCGTGCTGCGCCACGAACCCGGTGACCCGAGTTCAATTCCCGCTCAACGCCAACACCGGTGACGACTATCTGAACCGGTCCTGGGCCTTCCCGAGGTTGACTCAGCCTCAAATGAGTACCTGGCGCTGTGTGTAAACATCGCCATTCACGAGACAAAGGCGGCCGGGCGTGGTGCTTGCCACCCCAACCCCCTGGTGTGCCCTTCCGGCCTTCATAGGTGCTCGCTAACAGCACTTGCCCCAACAGTCTGTCACGGCTACAGGGGTGATATGTATCTTTATGCACAAGAATCATTCTTTAGCATCAAGTGTAATGTTTTGTTCCCCGAACACCGCGCCGATTCTCATAGACTTCTCAGGAGGTTTCTGCATTGCGGTGCTTGGCCAATTCCTTAAATTGCTCTCCCTTCCTTACCCATCACTCTCATTTGTGTTCTTTTGTTTATTGCCTGGGCAGCAATGCCTGCCGGATGGGACTAGTTTTGCAACTTACTTTTTGTCGGTTTGCAAGAACAGTGTTTTGAGTGCAAGCATGACAGTGCAAACAGATCACACAAGTGACATTTTTAGTTTCATAAAAAACGTTTTTAATTAACATATTGTAAATCCTACAGTACTTGACAGGCACTGTTAAAAAATAAACAAAAGCATTAAAATGTTTTCAACATTTGACACGCATTACACTAAAAAGTTAGAAAGAAATGCTGAAAATGCACCAAACAGCTGAAATAACAAGAGTACCTTTCGGGGTGGGGGGGGGGGGAAGAGACCAAGCCAGCTTGCATTAAAACAAACACTTCCTCTGTGCAAAAAATATTACAAAAGAAGTAAAATACAGTATACTTTACGTAGCTAGTATTTTGCAAATGATGTACTCTACGCACATCATTATAAAGTAATCGCAACTGCAATGTGTGTGTGTGCTTTTAACCAATGTTACAACCCCCCCCCCCCCGCCCTGTGGCCGCACGTGGCCCGTGTCAGAATCGACACGGCAGACCCTCCCACTGGGTCTCACTTCAAACTACAATCCAGTATGTATCGCCAATTGTGTAAACATGGCACATGCATACATAGCAGGTATATATATATTTTTAAACGTTAAGACTGAGAGGCAATACAATATGAATGTAATAAAATGTTATACATATGTTATTCTGGGCTCAGGATGAAGATATACACGGAGTCTCATTTCTTAAAATACAATTGATGTGTGCGTATTATTTTGCAATGGTGACATGCATTCCACGGGATCTTGCAGATTTTGAAAAGTGAATGTTTGGAATGTTGAGAGTATTTTGTGCTCAAAATACAGGCTTCAATATATATATGTTCAATGTGCATTTTGTTTTTACACACATGCTTATCGATATATATAGTAAAACAGTCATGTGCACTATAGACCAGCTAAACTTAGATTTGCTTAAATAAATATTGGCATGTCAAACGGCAGAAATATCAAAGAGGGGGCCTGTATTTTGGCAATAGCATTACAAAATAATTTAGTTCCAAAGACATGCTTTTGAACAGCAGTACAAAATCTGTGGAAAAATGTGGATTGTTTTAAAGATATATATAAAAACTAAATATGTATATACTTTAATACATTGTACAGTGCAATCCTGTTGCATTTTCATGTGAATACGTTCATTTGCATATACTAAATGTTTTCCTTGCACACTGTAAACTTCGTATTATTGTCTGCTTGAGTAAATTCCTACAAAATAACTATAAAAAAACAGATATGCTTCAACCACAAGCAGAGGATGAAAAAGATATTGATTGGCAAGTTAAGCTTGAGTGATCGCTGCAGAAGATGCAATTTCACAAAATTTAAACCGATGGCTCTCCATCTTAAACGATAACAGAAGGAGCAATACTTTGCGTGGCTTTGGGTACTTGTAAGCAAGTGTAGCGGATTAAGATCGACTTCTTAACGTGTTGTCACCGGACGTAAAATGCAACCGTTTGCAATCCACTCTTGCCAAATAACGATGATCGATTTTCTTTCTTTTTTTGCATTGCATTTGTATTCCCTGTACAACAACAACAAAAAGCACACAGGACGGCAAAAAGGTTCTGGTGCCCTTCGGCAAATGTGCGCAACGCAAAAAAACCTCAGCATTTACCGGCGCATTGGGTGGAGTCGTCTAAATGACACGCGACTGGGTTCGCGCATTTTACTACGGTGCGCGGGGGACTCAGGGCCCGTCACCAGCGAGAGGGAGTCCAGGGAGGATGCTGACAAGCACTCAACAACGTGCTCAGCACTCGAGATTCTCGCAAATTACTTCCACCCAAAACGGAATGGACAGCACGTAACATCAGTTTAACACGTAGTAGGCTTTCGCGACCAATATTATTCATAATAAACGTTCTTGGGTTCGATCGCGTTATTTATAAATGTGTCGTAATTTACCCTCCACCACCCGATACGGCCATTCAGCAAAAAAGTGTCACGTTGACAAAAGACAAAATAAGTTCACTACTTTAGCCCACCAGTGTGTTGAAGAGTGAATCCACAACATTAACAGTTTTTGAGTACGACATTTCGCTGGTAATTACATCCAGGATTCACTCTTCAACACACCGGTGGGTTAAAGTAGTCAACTATTTGTCTTTTGTCAACGTGACACTTTTTTGCTGATTGGCCGTGTCGGGTGGTGGAGGGTTACGACACATTTATAAATAACGCGATCTAACCCAAAAACGTTTATCATGAAGCACGTAACATCATCCCTTATCTATCGCGTTTGTAACAGCCCTTGTGTAAGTATTCGTGAGAATAAGCGACCACTTTGTGCATCACGTGAATTATAACACAAAAAAACCCGGTTCATTAGCATGCTTATACTAAGAGTACAAATAGTCAACGGGGCCTTACCTCACACCGCCACCACAAGAACAACGGGCTACGCACGCTCAAGCAGAGAGGGGCCCACGGTGTGCAAAGCGGAGAGGTGGGTGCGGGCGGGCAGGCGGGCACCCCAGCACGAGCTCGCGCGAGCCATTGGTAACCGCAGTCGGGGGCAGTGTCCCACGATACGCACGTACAAAAATAACTGTGACGGCGCGCGCGAGCGCGTTCTTCTCTCGCGGCCAAACAGTGTTACGCACGACGCACACGAGCACCCCGGCCACTCGCCGAGGTCAACCCTATTTAGCCATGCTGTAGTGATAAAAAGACAATTCTAAAATACGGCTTTTGCTGTCCTATTTTGTAAACTCCCATCGAGAGCAGTATTGACCCAATAAGCTTTACAAAGGCACTGGTAACTCTCCATTCACTTGCAGAATGGCATTCGGGCAGCTGCTACTGCCTACAGCCTCATCCGATAAAATGTTGATATTTAGCAAATCATTGTTTTAATGCAATACATTTGTAACTAAAGCCTTATCGCCCAATCGGGCACAGCAATATCTAGCGATGCTGAATTCGAAAGTAATGTTTTGTTTAACGGTACAATGTATCAATTCTAATTTTCGTTAAAATTCATACTTGACAAATCTTGAATAGCTGCTGTTGTGATCAGAGCCAACTCTTACAATGCAGAAGCGGAGTGCAAGTTGAATCTGCAATTATCCAACGAAATACTTGGATGTTTGCAAAAAAAAATACAATTTAGAGAACTTGAAAAGATGCCCGTAAAAAAATGGCCAATTAAGTGTCGATTTATTTGACGGTTGCTCTACGAATGACCCCGCGCCGTCTGAAATGGGCATAACCTTAAAAAGCAGGATTTGTCAAGTAAAACCCGAACGACAAGCCGTGTCATTTTCACTGACTGCCAGGCCTCTGCGGCAAAGGCACCGCAGGCGAGATCTTGTGCAGGCCACGCTGGATGTGCACGGTGAAGTCGTATTTATCGAGACACTTGTGCTGGCAAATGCTGCACTGGAAGGGGCCCTCGTCTCCGTGGCAGCTCATGTGCAGGGTGTGCAACACTTCGTCCTGGAAGATGATCCCACAGCGAGCGCACTTCGTCGAGCAGCCGTCCTGCGTGCCCCTCTCGACCGTCCTCGGCTGCGATGCGGCAGACGACGGCGGCGGCGGTGCCATCGCCGAGCCGGCGGACCGGTTCTCCCGCCTGGCCGCGGCAAAGGATCCCGCCGAGACGCCCCTGTCGGGCGTCGACGTCTTCCTTTTCTTCACCACGAGATCGAGGGGCCCGTCGCTCGCCCCGGCACCGCTCAGGTGAGCGCCCAGTCGGTAATAGGAGGCGTACGCCTCCCAGTCCGAGAGGTGCATGGGTGCCTGGCCGGCCGGAAATCCGCCGACGTAACTCTCCGGGTTGGCCGCCATCATCATCCTGTACTTGCTCCAGAGTCGCAGCCACTCCCCGTTGAGGGGGTAGATGGCGCCGGACAGGGCTGCCTGTAGGGCTGTGGTGGGGACAGCGGCGGCGGTGGAGGCGTACTGGTACTTCTCAATGGGGCTCCCCGGCGGGGTGCAGTGCGGCCGGTGAAGGTACTTCTCGATGGGACTGCCCCGAGACAGAGACTCGCGCTCCTCCAGCGGGCTCACGTAGCACACGCGCCCCAGAGGATGCTGCCTCTCCACAGAGGCGGCAGAGTCCGTCCGTGCCTCCCGCCAGTTCTGAACGCCGGCGCCGCCGCCGTCGCTTGAACCTCCGCGGAACGGGTCTGGCTTTGTGCTCTTAAAAGTGGAAATGATCCAAAGTGAGCACACAAGTTGGAAAAATGTTAATCCTCACATAAATGCGGAAATTCGCGGCATCACGTAACTAGATTAACACACAACGAGGTGCACTAATGATTGCGATTTCATCTAGCAAACATAGGAATCAGAAAAGCAAATACAGGGGGCTTCAAAAAAATGTTAACACTTCTGAGAATTTACAACAATACCACAAAAAATGTGTCTCCCTGCTCTGGAGACCACCTGGAGAAGATTCCAGGCATGTGTTGACAATCATGGCGAACAAGAGACTCTTTGACTTTTTGAAGCTTTTAACATACATTTGTTATGTTAGAGTGCATTATCCATTCTTTTTCCCATATAAGTGTTTCCTTTTTTTGAAAGCACCCTGTTAAACGTGTCCTTGAAATAATGTTAATGGATAGAATGGATTTTTTAAATGGAAAGTTCAAAAGTGAACAATGCGCAAAGCAGCACTGCTTAGTCCTGTCAGCCGTGTCTCCATGCTATGTCAGGCAGCGCCAGTCCAGTGCTGCACAATGCAGAAACTACTGCAGCACTGGGCTTGCAGGCTTGATTTGGGATTTTAAGAAGTGTTTTTACGCCATTGCTTACTATACAGGCGGTCCCTCGCTTTTACGACAATGTGTTCCTGGAAGCATGTCGTTGTAAATCGAGACCCCTATTTTCCCATTAAAAACAGCAGAAACATCACTCTGTTTTTATCCTTTTTATATTAAACAAGAGTTTCATCAGTAAAAAAATCCACAAAAAAGCCACTTGACAATGACAAAAGCTCCACGCCGAGTCACTGGAAAACCAGACCGGCTCAAATGTGTGCGGAGTCGTGTCGCAAATCAAACCTCCACGTCGTGAATATATCCACGATGGTGTCATGCAAATGTCGTAAATGTGGATTGGACGGTCGTAAACCGGACATTGGCGATATAAATAACATTACAAACCGCGAATGGGCAAATGTTGTGTTTGTGGAAATTAACGGGGTTATGTTCAGGAAGTATTTTGAAGACACGTCGTAGACTGAGTGCACACCAGTGGCAAGGTTATTATACGCCATCGGCATGTGTCTCTCCACCACTGTAAAAAACACCACAAGGGTTTCCAAAGAGAGAAAACCCCTCTTCATAACGGAGGTTTTTTTTTTTGGGATTAGATCGCGTAATTGTAAATGTGTCGTTAAACTCGCCACCACATGACATAGCTAATTAGTAAGGTTTGTCAGGTAAACAAAACGTGCTAATTAGTCACTCGTTCAGCACACCGGTTGTGTTGGAGAGTGAATTCCTCTTATTGCTGCATTGGCTTATCCGCCGAGGAGAGTATGCTTGAATTGTGTATATATACGGAGGATTTTTTTCCCCGTACGATGGTTTCTTTCTGCAGTGAGCTGGAGGCTTCCCTGGGCTGCTTGCGGAAGCCATGCGATCGCTGGTAATGACGTAACATTGGGTAAGGAGACAACTTTGAAGGGGGAACCACGTCTTAGAAACTTGCAGCTGAAACTCATGGGGCTGGGATAAATTGATTCTGTGAACTCTTGTTACTGGACCCTACACCCTGTATGCGCCTCTGAACACAGTTCTGTATTTGGCAAAGGAGGAAATTTATCATGAAAATAGTTTCCGAATTAGAAATGCGGAGCTTGTTGTCCAGAACCACACAGAGAAGAGGGAGAATTCTCAACACCGATCAAACTACCAAATCCTTGTGTTAAGTCAAAAATAAGTCCAACATACATACATCATCCAGAATGTCTGGCTACTACTTCCAGGTTCACCAAGCACAAGATATTTACATAAACCTTGGCCAATTAGGAACTCCCTTCCCAACCAAAAACACGAAATATTAAACAGGAGCGAGATCATAAATCTTGCAACACAGAGGCCGCAAGCAACCAATAGTTCACAAATAAAATAACATGAAAATTTGACCTATTTTATTAATATAGCTGGAACATATAAAAGATGGAATGTTTCCACATAAAATAGCACTGAAGAGAGGTTTATTAGTATTCCGACACTCCTTCAGACGGCAGCCAGGAATCCAACCACTGTAGTTAATTTAACACGAGTCGCTGCATGAGTAACACAGAGATCCATAACACAAGTAAAGCATGAAAAGAGAACGCGCGTAAGAACAGGATACAAAAAGACAAACTGCTAGATCAATGCAACAGATTCAAAGACGCTCTATAAAATTAAATTAAATACCACACAATCAAAACCCATCTAGAATACCCTAAAAAACCCTTAGCAAATAGGGGATATCACCACCCTACACCTTACTAATGAGTGCTATACAGGTAGAAACAACAGGTTCCACACTGCCCACCAGGGATTATTTGTCTGTCTGTCATGCACGAATGCGCTGTCCAACCAAGTTCCTACCTGCCCACTCCGAAGTAACGTGTTTTGCCAACTTGTGTCCCCCTCTGCACAGCTGTGCTCAGAGTAGCTGACAATTCTACTGGCCAATCAAATGGGTGTCTTTCAATTGGTGTCTAACCTCTGCAATGATATTCTTAGGTTTTTTTCAGTAAAGTCACGTAGGTAAAAAAAATTAATAAATATAAAATAAAAATCACAACGTTTCGGAGGCAACACAAGCTTCCGTCTTCAGGTGGAACCGTCACAGCACGACTGCTGCATCAACGTGACTTTACTGAAAAAAGCTAAGCATATGAATCCTTGCAGTCACGAAAGCTTCAAATCTAGTCTCTGCAATGATCTCCAAACTCGTCGCGCTGTTTAAACCCCCCAGAGTCATACGGTCCATACGTCACACACCTCTCCTGTTTCGTACGGTGCTTCACTTTACATCATAAGTTTGTTCAATGCAATTAACATATATCCTATTTGCCCCATTCTACAAGTGTATGGCTATCACGAAGGCTTCAAGTTTCACGGGTGATTAAAGTTTTCCAGTCGGGGTGATGCTGCACGTGATTTTTACCCAATTAGGTAAATTGCGAGTCATTAATCACGCTTGGGAAGTTTTGCGAACGTGACGCTGGCACACGTGGCCTACTCTTTTATTTCATAACTTAACAGGATCGCTTTACGTCCACTGCAAAGCAGACAGAGAGTGCTTTACGGGCAGTACGCCCGCAGGATTAACCACGGGGTGATCCTCTGGGCTGGGAACCGTGAACCTCTGCAACACGCGGACAATGCACTACCGCTCGGCCCACGTGATTCGATTGGAGGGTGGGGGGTTCACGGTTTCTACCCACACTCACAATCACAATGATGAAATTAACTCAAAGAAATCCACGTTGGGATGAAGGCCACCCCATGCTGTGACAGTAGCGGTGGTTGTTTGGCCACACTTGACCCAGGTGGTCTATTGTGGGTTGGTGTAAGAATGGGCCCAGGACCGGTTTAGATATCTGTCGCCACTGATGGTCGACGTGTGGCTGGCCAGGAACTCGAGTCATCGTCTTCTCCCACCCCTCGCAGATATTAAAACATTTTATTCACAACGTGTACAGCCTGCCTTCAAAAGAGATTAAGCTAATCTTCAAGATACATTTCAGAAACGTTTCGAAACGGATTTAAGCTCATATTAACAACACTGCTATGTATTCTTGGTTCTTTCGGTAAAGTTACGTAGAAGGGAAATAATAAAAAATATAAAACTATACAAATTCTCACGACATTTCGACTGCAATACAAGCAATCATCATCAGGTGCTGTGGATTTCACACCTGATGATGATTGCTCGTGTTGCAGTCGAAATGTCGTGAGAATGTATTATTTTATATTTTTATTATTTTATTATTTCCCTTCTACGTGACTTTACTGAAAGAACCAAGAATATGAATCCCTGCAGTCACGAAAGCTTTAAATCAAAATGTAACACTGTTGTGTTCCCCCCCCCCCCCAAATAAAATAAACGTACACACATATTCCATCCACCAAGGGACATACCTGGATGCTAAGGTCAGCGGGCGGTGAAGAAGCCGTAATGATGGCGGACGTAGGCACGTGCACGTGGCTTGCAGACGCATGATTCCTGCTCAAGGATGTTGGCACTTTGGGAGGATGCCCTGGTGAGGCTCTCTGCGGCCCCTTCTCCCAGCTTAAGGCACCGTTTGCCATCCTGTTTTCAGCGGTATGGCCGTCGCTGTTGTGAGTGCTGTTGCTGGAGAGGCATTTCTGCTTGCCGCTCATCCCAGAATGCTGGTCTCCGTGCGGAGGGTCTGGCAGCGTCCGCTTGCGGGTGCGGCGTCTAATGATCTGCTCTCCGTTATTTTGCTTGATGATGCTCAATGGTCGAGGTGCCTACGTTGCGGAGAGAGAGCACACGTGAAATCCACACGCGAGAGAATGCACCTCGCACACGTCCCACAAGATACATGCGCGGGCAGCCCACGGACAAGGCAAAACTTTTCGAGGCCAAGCATGGGTAAACCGGAATCTGGTGAACGTTGAACAAAGCGGCCACACAACAAATCTAGAATTCCAGCTAGAATGCCATTCGCACCGCAATTAAGCTGTGGTTAGAAGGTTATGAGGGTTGAATATTCTGCGGTTATTAATTTGTAAAATATATAACAAATGCATTTTATTCACAGTACTGTGTTTAGATAATTAATGTCCAGAAGCGGGCGATCCAAGGTTATGAGCCAGCACAGCGGTGGCAGACTGCTGCCATCGGCAAATCCGTGCTCTGCTAATTGGAACTGTGTTTTCTCTCGCTATTATACATTTATTTTGCGAATAAATGATTGTAGATGAGTTCTAATTTAAAGATATTAAGTTAATTAAATGTTTTAGTCTACAGTTTGAAGGCATTCGTCAATAGTTTCTACGGATAATGATTTCAACTTCTAACTTGCCGCGGCAGTTATTCGCTCCCTCTCGCAGACAGAAAACAACTCCCACCTCCCAAGCTCTGCGAGCCTCTATATATGAAGGTGTTATTGGCCAATTAATGAGTGGTTCCATGTGGGGGTGAAACCGGGGAACCGAGAAAAGCCATGCTTGAGAGGGACGACACTCAATCCCATACAGAATAGACATGATATTAGTCCACACTTTGCTGAACTGCCTTCTGCCGGGCAAGCCGGGGTACGGAATTTCACAACGTTTAAATGATTCACCAACCATCGCTGCCTCCACTGCGCTGAATTATAGGCGTGCATAGCCACCACCGCCGGCTAAAGATTTACATTTAATTATTTGGAGTATATAAAGACATTGCCCAATCTTCCAGAATAAAAGGCTGTCCACCCAACGAGTCTGGCTTCCGCATGTCTTACTGCACACGTGCTTAAAAAAAAAACCTGGGCAAATACAGGGCGCAAGATGCTATGGGAGTATAACCGCAGGCAGTCATTGGAGCATATCGCAAGTTGTTACCACAGGAGGTGGTAAAACGTAGCTGAACGTGTAGAATTTCACAGTCGACATTCTGATTAAATGATTGATTTCCGGGTTAGTCCACGGAATGGTCTGGCCAGGTTTCTGTCTTGAGACCATCAACTGCCTGACACAGCCAAGCAAATAAACTTGTCACATGGTGTACGTGCGTTTAAAAGCGCCAACTGTGATTGTTTCAGCTCACTGGTCAAGTCAAAGAGAACAATCCACACAACCAAATTTAGCAATGGGGATACGAAGTTTAAATTGAAACTACACAGCAAGCATCTGCAGGAACATCCAGCAAGTCGGAATGAAATCGAGGTCAACAAAGCTACCGATTGCGTTGTTATGTATCGTATAAATTTTGACTTAAAACTTTGGTGACTGCAGGAATTCATATTCTTGGTTCTTTCGGTAAAGTCACATAGATAGAAAATACAAATAATAAAATAAAAATAAATGCAAAAAACCCACGACATTTCGATCGCAACACAAGCGGTCTTCATCCGCCTGATGAAGACCACTTGTGTTTATTATTTTTACGTTATTTTCTATCTACGTGACTTTACCGAAAGAACCAAGAATATGTGTTGTATACTTTTTTGTATCTAACTCGGACCAACAACTCATAGAGAGGGTCCTCGCTTATGACATCTGGCCATTCAGCAGCATCTGTTCAAGCAAAGCCTGACTGCTGATAAGACACTGTCGAAACCGGTCCAGAGTTTGTTTGTTTTTAAACCAATGCTGCTGAAGAACTCCCAGAAGGCCTCGTGAATAAAAAAAAACATCCTCTTTTTATACGGAGGGACAGATGTGTGAATAATATATATGTCCTACTTAATATTTTTTGTATATTATAAGAAACTAATTTTCTAGACTACTGAAGAAAGCAGTGCTGACCAAACACCAGGCCTATTTAGAAAAAATGCTCTCGAATTTATAACAATCGCATTCCAGTTGTGTCTTCGGCATCAGACAAGACCGAAAAGGAGCTCTAATTGACATTAGACCACTAGACTGCGCTCTTTACCTGCGCTGATCATCTGATAATTGAGACGTCGGCACAACGTGTCTGCCAAAAATGCCAAGCCTAGGCTTGGCCAAATCACAGCGAGTGCAAAACCAATCGTTTCCGATGTTGTTTATTGTTTGCGTAGCCATGAGTGACGGAGCTGAGAACAAACATCAAATGTAAAATGATGTTTTCCTGGTGGGGCCTGTGGTTTTCTTCACCGTACACAACTAGTATACACCCTCGGAGACACCAGGTCACCTTTAATATAAAAAGAAACATTTCTATATCATTATACTCATAAAATACATCCCTCAGTAAATCAACTACTGAATGAATGCCTCCCCATGTCGTATCGGCAATGGGGGCTGTTTGACCATATTTGACCACACTGGTCAATATGGGGCTTATTGAAGAAGGGGGAATAGGTTTGACATAAACTGTTACTGATGCTAGCCGTGGCCCAGAATTCAGGTCATGTCGCCGGGTGTACAGCACCATGCCGATCAACCCATACGGCTTACTCATAATCTTGTACAGGCAAATTGAGTTAAATATCGATTTAAAGCTTTCGTGACTGCAGGGATTCATCTTCTTGGTTCTTTCGGTAAAGTGTCCCCGACAGACCTGGTCTTCACCTGAGGACGGCTGCTTGCGTTGTGGCCGAAACGTCGTGAGAATTATTTTATTATGTTTTATTTTATCATTTTATTATTTCCATTCTACGTGACTTTACCGAAAAAACCAAGAAGGCAAATTGAGTTTTCAGGTCCATTCGGCGTACAGCCGTTTCAATACGGGCTTTGTAGAACGAACGCTTTTTTATAAGGGGCACTGGGTGGCTAAAAAGGTCTGAATTTGTCTGTAATAAGGTCGGCAATGATAAGGGTTGACAGGTATGCAGCACCAAACACCGCACCACAACTTTGGCTTATTATATGGAGATGTACAGTACAGTAGTGAGATGTATGGGAACAGTGCTGCTGTACCATAAGGGATGGCAACGGTATGGGAAGATGTTCGTATAGCAGTGGATAGATAATGATTGTACGATAATGATGCCATTCTAATATTTAAAAAAAATAACAACCTGACGTCCTGTAAAGGAACGTGCCCTTTGACGTTGGAAACGGAATGCCGTCCAATTAAGATCTAGAACGGAAAGGAGTGTCTGGACGTTCCTGCCCACGGCAATAACAACAAGGTCGCCGTGTCCTATCTGTCGTGGACCTCAGCACTAACAGACGCCATTGCCTCCACACGAGGGACCGCGCGGTTTGCAATGGGGACAGCGCGCAGAGACATTCACGTGAGCGGAGGGGGCGTTGGGGGTGGTAACGACGACGTGCGATCGAATAATTGTATTAAAACACCGCAGCACTTCTGTTCTGAGTGTTCCACAATGACACAAATGCACTGTAAGTGTGAAGGTCCGCCTGAGATAGAAACCAGCTTTTCCAGCTGGTTGTTCAGTTGATCATTTAAGTGCCATTATTTAAGCACTTCTTTCAAGTCTGTTAAAGGCCAGTTGGGTGTGGTTGGCAAGGGCGTGGAGAGGAGTTGCTGTCATTACATTACAGGTTCAATTCACTCATGAGAATTCCTCCGCGTACACACACACACAAGCACACGCTCAACGGTTTCCTTGAGATTTATGATATTTGAACAAATCTCCAAGTGAACAAATATGTATACATGCTACTTGCGGTGTTGCGAGCTGTATGATTGGCAGGCGTGTATGTGGAAGCACTGCAATGCTAACTCAGTGGCTATTGTCATTCCTCAACAGCAAAGTACAAGACATTAAATGATCATCCCTCTACTTACACTCAGTTCACGACTACCAACCCCCATGGCAGCACGTTATTTTTCACGAGTTCAAACTGCGAATAAATTACATTAAAAGTTCAAATAATTGTACATCTATCATCGCAGGGTGTGTCATTAATCAACAGCGAAACGTCGTACTCGAATTGTAAATGTTGTGGGTTTACTCTCCAACACACCGGTGTGCCGAAGCAGTAACTAATTGGGACGTTTTGTTACGTGACACACCTTACTAATTAGCTGTGTCGGGTGGTGGTGGCGAGTTTAACGACACATTTATATTTACGCGATCGAACCCAAAAAAAAACCTCTACTGTGGATTATATTGGTCACGAAAGCCCTGCAACTACTACGTACTAAACTGAGGGTGTGTGCAAAAGTTTGAAAACTTACAGAATGCAGTTTTTCGTAGAGGCCACAGGCATTACAAACGTAGACACCGCCGGCGTTCTTCCTCCAGAGTGTCGTCGTGGTTGTGAGGCAGTTTACACAAAACAGTCCCTGCCCTCTCTTCCTCTGTTTGGAAAAACAGAGAACACATTTAACGGGCGCCACGGTGGCTCAGAGATGTCAACTGCCTCGCCTGGTATGCAGGAGGTCGTGGGGTTCCATCCCAACCCTGACGCCTGCTGCTGTATATGTGGAGTTTGCGTGTTTCTCTCTCTCTCCCCTTGGTCGTGTCCATTTTCTCCGGGCTCTCCGGTTTTTCACTCCACATTTAGAACCAACATGTGTTTTATAGTAATCCACTTCGTTGGGCTATTATTTGTAGCCAGGTCGCTTCTGAAAAAAAAAGAGCTATATAGCCCGGTGGGGCCTTATCCAGTAGAATAAAAAATAGTTTCGTGAAAAACTTTTCTGTTTAATTAGTTACCATTTAAACAGGTCCACTGCCCATGTAATTATTACAATGCATGCTTCATGCACACAGCAAAACACGACACTCCACGTTCATCCATCGTTGGTTTCGTGGCTGCGTAGCTTCGCGCCATTCCTGTCCGTTCGGCTAGCTTTAAAAAACAAAACAAAACACAATTTTAATTGTTGCTGCCAAATGGCAATTTGTGCAGGAAGACAGCAACGGCTGCTTAATGTGTATGTTAAAGACCCATGCCATCATTTTCGAGCTTCAAAGTGAATCTGGCTTACACCAACATCTGCAAAGCATGCCTATTGAATGTCAACTTCTGCTTAAATGAGGGGAAAGAGAACGAACACACAAAACACATATTTACCCCAAGACCTTATAAGATTTCATCAGTGCGCCCAAGCAAATGCTTCGCAACTTGGGACCTCATGCTGGACCTAAAGTATCCACTTCACAATTCCCATTTTGAAACCGTTCCGAAATGTCTCATTTTTGGTAAAAAAATAGTGCAAAGTTACGTGCACAAATCTTTGTACAAGTCTTTACAACAGGGCAAATTAAGAGTTATTCAGTCCACAAGCTAAGTCGCGAGATTTAAATAATTTGCTATCAAATAAATACGAAACTTTTGTAGTGTTTTGTATGACATCCATATTAAAGTAGAAAAATATCATTCTGTGCAACAAATTTTATATATTGCTCTCCATATTAAAATGTAATGTCACTCGACACGGAGTGGCAAGGACAAAGTGCCTTTAAAGAGAATGTGTGGGCAGCCACAACATTGGATCCCATTACTTTAGAGATACAGTATAGATAGAAACTCATTCTAAATTACCATGTACAACAGAGCACACAGAGTAAGTAGGTAACTATACAATTGGAGTTTAAATTATAATAACTTAAGCTATCAACAAAATATACTGACTGTTGCTATCACTGCATACAGATAAATATTTACGCATTATTTACTTTAGAACATTGCTTCAAATTAAATTTATACAAAGTGACGCACCTTTTACACAGTCTGGCATATCACTACGCCTTTTTGACCTTTGACATATTTTCGTGTTATTGTTTCCCGAATTCCTTTCTCAACGTATTATAATGCAGAGTCCTGAGTCGATCCACTGCTAGATGTAGGGAGGCCTTCCCCAGGCTGTGTGGGTTCATTATAAACCACGCGGGTCAGTGCGGGTTCGTGGATGGGTCAGTCCCGTTACCCCCTGCCAGCGGGCGTTCAACACGACACGGCCTTAAAGTGCACATAGCCTGGCACAAGAGCCGTGGTGACGTCTCCGCTGCTCAGTGGAGAATGGCGGTTGTAGTTGTTGTGGATGGGCACAGGACGGGCTTATAGATCACTCACATGGGCGTTTGCCGCGACTGGTCGCGGCCGCATGGTTCATAGCGCAGCACGCGAACCACTGTGTTAGGATCCCAGCATCTCGCACGTACATAAATACTCCTCGCGTTATCTGTCAACCAAAATAGTGCCCTTATCTGCAAACGCTTATCTCCATTATTGCCGATAATTAGGTGAACTTAGAGCACAACCCCTCATTCATTTTTTTGTGAAAATGACGAACAGGAAGAGACCCTTTCACTATTAAGCTCTAAAGCCAACCGAGACTAACAAACTATTCTGAAAATTGCCGTGTGCACACAAGCCCAGAGGTATGCGGCAAAACAGCTTCACTTTACCTGAACGGTGAACACTGCGTGGAAGCCTACTTTTTCTTGTTCATACAAAAAGTGAACAAAGGGGACATCAGCCCATCCTCGGTGCTGCCTAATGCCGTGGCATCGCCCCACGTGCGGTGCCACGCGGAGAAGACCGCTGGACCCCCAACGGAAACGCCTGCTCCCCTCACACGCTGTTAACTACCTCGCCTGGTATACAGGAGGTCGTGGGTTCGATCCCGACCCTGACGCCTGTGTATTTGAAGTTTGTATGTCTCTCTCGCCGTGGTCATGTGGATTTTTCTCCGGGTCATCCGGTTTTTCCCTCCACATTTAGAGACTCAACACCATGCGTTAAGAGTATTTGGCTGCTAGACATTTCCACGTGATAAGCAACTTCATTGGGCTATCATTTGTGGCCAGGTCGCTTGTGAAAAAAAGAGCTAATTAGCTCAGTGGGCCTTACCTGGTGAAATAAAAAAAGTTTAGTTTAACTTGTCGACAGTTGAACTGCAGCGTTTGCACCCCCCCCCCCCCCCCCCGTTATGTACTATTATGGACCTAATCTTTACCCATTGAGTAGGGGAGTGATCGCGGATGCCAGCCGCAGCAGGCGGCGTAGAACGCGTTCTCGACGGCAGTAACGATGTTGCGCGCTGTGCACAGTGTGCCGAAGGTGTCCACAGCGTGGGCGCTTCCACGATCGATGACTGCGTTGCTCTCTTTAGACATCGACACGGTCCAGAGCTGTTGTGTTCACACTGGTTCGTATCCGGGAGCCCGCCGCCCTGGTTAGCACTATATTAAACTATTTTCTATTTTACCAGGTAAAGCCCACTGAGCTACGTTAGTTCTTTTTCAGACGCGACCTGGCCACACATTATAGCTCAACCAAGTGGTTTATCACGTGGAAATTTATAGCGGCCAAACACTCTAAAACGCACGTTGTAATATTACTCCCAAAATTATCTTATTTGGGAAACACGTGACGAACACCACCCAACCCCTGTGAGAACTTGGCGGGACCCTCCTAAAAGAGAGGCTTGAGCCTCAACGAGGCTCTCCTGGGTAAGCAAGTGTGGTAATAATAATGATATAATAACCCGCACTTCAGTAACGTGTGGAATTTGTCATGCGGCTCCTCTGTACGCGAAAGGAGGAGTGAGTGAAGTAACACATTCTTCATCTTATCCAAATATTCAAGCGGAAAGACGCCCATCGACAGATACAAATTAATTGCAGATAAGCTCACGAATAAAAGGAGTGATTGTTATGATGTACAGAGCGGCTCTGATATTTCTTGGACTGACTTCCGTCGGTGATAAAACAGCCGCTCCACACGTGATAATAGATACATCATCATCGGATGTAGGACTGACAAATCCCGCCTGATGAGTGTTCAAAGTACTGTATAATGCACCAGTACAATGACATATATATGCCTTCCATTCAAATAGCCCATTATTATACCAGTCTACAATTCTTAGACGTCTACTTCAGATATTAAATGTGCTGTTTATTATGAATTTTAATGTGCTGAATTCAATATGATAATTGAAAAAAACTGATTGGCTACTGTTCCCAAGATATTTAAGTTTTTACATTTTATGTCTATGTATATAGAGTTTCTCATAAATTGTAAGATAATTATCTTAACGCATTTCAGAAACTTCCGAGAATTGCTGTGACAAGAAAAATGTAAGTGGTGTGAGTTGAATTAAAATGTATTGGTTTAAATCAACTGGCATTTAAAAATAACCCTAACCATCACTTTTGACACAGAACAAATTCGTTTAGGAGATACTGGGTTGGCACAAATAAAAAAAACACTCGATGCATTCGTCAATAACACTGCTCTAACGACACTGAAATAAACACACACATGGCACAGGGATGTGCCGCGATACAGCACACAGGCATTGCTATCTTTACACTCGCTTAAACCTCGCTGTGCACGCTGCATTAAAACGGTCGCGTGGACTTTGTGTCAACACACTCAATGTTCATGCTCCTCGGCTGCAGTGTTCCCGGCTGCGATGTGTGGTGCTACAGCCCCGACAGACGCGAACACAGTTTTCCATCCTCGTGTCCAGCGCGTTAATATTTAGGTTACAGCTTACAAACCGAGGTGCACAGCTTATGTTTTCCATCCTGTCGGCGTTTGTCATGTGCCTACGAGAAATGGTGTAGCAGTGGTGTCATCTTATGTATCCATTCCAATAAGCTATGACTATTTTGTTGTGTTTTACTCTTTTTTATGTACCAGGTAAGGCCCAAGAAAGATCAAGTACACGTTATTATCCACTTTCATTGTCAACTATTTATCAACTCACGACGGAAGCGCGGTGGAGCGGTGGCGCAGCAACCGAAGCGTTGCAAACGACGACCCCGGAGTTCGATTCCCGGCCACAGCTAACATCAGTGGCAAGTTGATCTGAATCAAACCCTGGCCCCGTCCCACCTTGAGTAACCTGCAGTGACCAGCGTGGTAAAGTATCGTCAAACAATCCCTACGACTGATGCAGAATGAACTCAAGTCGCCAGATACATAGCACAGTGCGTGCACCAATCACAGCACCACCACTCCCCCTTTCAAAAGTGTTTAAATGTCAATATATTTTTTTATGAATTATACCTATATATGTCCAAAGCACCTGGAATGTGTTCGATTTCGTCAGATCTCAGGATCGAAGCAGTGTTGGAGTATGAATCGTGTAGTGCTTGAATGATTGACCATCATGCGAAATGCATGTTTGGAGGCAGCTTTGGGGCTGCAGTGTCGGCATAGTGCAGTGTAGCTAACATCCATTGCCGTACTCTACTAAACTCCAATGTCTGTGCATCTCACATTCACCGACCAGCATTGGTCAGCATGGTGAAGTATGGTCGAATAACTGCCATGAACCACACGGCGTGGATAGCCTCTCATCCAGCAGCGGGATTGACAAAAGCTATGCACTTATCT